TATTCATCTGTCAGGAATTAAATTGTAGACCATGAATTCATCTGCCATTCACCATGATGAGTGTGGATTTAGTGCTCATATTCCTTCGAACAAATATGTCATTAATCAAGTGTTCGCATGCGTGGTATACGGCTTGTTATTTATTCCTACAGTACTACTAAACGGTATTTCAATTTTTACCATTTTGAAATGTTCTCAACTGAAGGAGAAAGTTAGCTACTTTGCCATTCTAATGCAATCAGCAGTTGATCTAATCACAGGTGTTATAACCTTACCATTAATAACGGCGCACCTACTACTCAAAGACGTTATTCATGTTAAAAATATTGTTTTGTGTTGGCTAACTTTCAGTTTAGGCATCTTCCCAATTTTACTGTCCGTATGGACCTTATGTGTATTAAGCTTCGAGAGATATATGGGCGTCGTACATCCTTTTGTTCATCGCACAAAAGTTACTAAAAAACGAATTTTCATATTTGAATGTTCTGTGGGCTTGCTAACACTTGTTTACGCTCTAAGCACGCCTAGAAATCCCTCAGGAGTATTTGACATGATCGTGTACTTTGCCATATTCTTCATTCCCTTGCTGTTAATAGTATATTCTTACACTAAAATTTTTATCGCAGCAAGAAAAAGCCTTTTTTCTGGTAACAGACCTGGAGAAGGGGCAGCACAAGCAGATATGTCAGAGATGAAAAGGAAAAGACATTTTCTAAGAGAATTGAAGTTAGCGAAATTTTGTTTTTTGGTTACATGTTCGTTTGGTTTATGTTTCGTACCTTTCATGGCTCATTCACTGACGATAAATTTTCTAGATCAGGAAACCATGACAATGCTGTTTAGCTGGGCGATGGCTATAGCTGCTCTGAACTCCAGTCTCAATTCAGTCATCTTCTTCTGGTCCAAGGCAATGTTGAGGAAAGAAGCGATGAAAGTTTTAAAGATATGCTGTTCCTAAAAGTTCCCCATTTTACTGTTGTATATATTGTTGGCAAAGAGTTTCGTCATTGAGCGATAACTTATCTATGTACTGTATATCCGTACAAATCATTTAATGCAATAAAAATTTGAAAATCTTCATTTATTAAACTCCCCAGCCGTTTATGCCACTGTCTGGTTCAAACATTTACAATTTGATCTTGCACCTGATTGATGTTTCGAGCTTAAAATTAAAATTAAAATTCCATATTCCCAATCGTAATTTTGGAAAATAACGGAAAATTGAATTCCTTATTAAATTGTTAAAGCTGAACATTCTGTGTTCCACCGCGTCACATTTTGAAATTCTCATTCCATTGAGATGGAAACAAAAAACTCCATATTCCACAAACAATGCTAAGTGAAAGAATTTCCCATTCCAAAATTCCGCCCGAATCCATTGTTGGACGCTAATAATTTCATAACTGAACTGTTCAACGACGTACCAACAAGGTGGTGATGAATTGAAAAATTGGCCATCCTTACTAACATTGTGAACCTTGGTCGAAATGTTACATTTGCTGAAACGTCCATCCGCGTGCATGAACATCAATTTGAACGCCATTGCATAAATACAGAATGCACTTTTTGCAGGAAATTGTATCGTTGTAGAATGTTTCGGTATAAAGTTAATCCCTAAAGTAAAGGTTGTCGGTAATCGAGTTACCAAAATCAGATCCGAGATTTACATGAAATGATACCAAAGTATATAGTGCCATTGCTACGTTCATTGGATAGGGTTTTTAATCTATTCATCGTCTTAACGCGCACGTTGGAGAAATGTCATATATATGAAAAAAATATTAAAACCATTTGCCGTAGTGTAATAAATAGAGAATAATACATGGGGGCATGCGCGGTAATACCAGATTTATTTCGAGTGTTGAACATGATATCTCATGTATTTTTCTGTTTATTATAAAAAACAAAATTGAAAAACAATAAAACATCCGTGGCAATGCGTTTTACAACAAGTTCTCTGAATAGTCAAACATATTTCCTTCGCGCTTTTTGATTGGCTTGCAAAAATGATATTTTCACACGTAAAAATATCGTAGCCAAAAACTCTATATAACACTTATGTTTATATAATAAAAGATTATACTTTGTTGTCTATGAACTTATATTCTCTTTTATGGAATCATTGAGACCGATGCAACTATAATGTGTGCGCGTGATGGTCTTAGCACAAGCGCAAGTTTGATCGGCTCTTTCCTATTGGTTGTATCTCTGGGAATATAGTAAAATGCGGACTGGACTGGTAAAACGCGGACTGGTCTCAGATTAGTAAAACGCGGACTGGACTCAGATTAGTAAAACGCGGACTGGAATCTGTTAGTAAAACGCGGACTGGAGTCTATTAGTAAAACGCGGACTGGGATTATTATCGGCTTTTGCATCGGATACAAAGGAAACCAAAGCCAAGGAGATCTGGAGGCAACGTTTTGGCTAATTTGCGATCCGGTCCGATCCAACAAGCGATTTCCAGTAAAAGGACAAGTGGAATGATCGGATCGGAAAAGGAAAAATGGAGCTCGGTCCAGTCTCACAAATTTCTTTTTCGCGCTTATTTCAAAACGGCAGCGGCTCTGAACAAGCGTGTCCTTCATCTGATTTGGTTACGTCGTCGCCAGCAAAGGAGAAGCAAACAAGAAAAATACAAAAAGAGCATTTGGATAAGGAACATTTTCCAGGAAAGAAAATGGAAAAGTAAATAACAATTATTGATTGCAATTTCGTATGTTGCCAAGCAAAAAAATTTAAAGAGCTGTTGTACTCTCCAATTCTTGTAAATTCTCCCTCGAATTCTCCAAGAAAGCTCCTAAATTATCCTCCATTTTGTAAAATTTATACAGGTATTATTTAATTATTTTAATTTTTGTGAGATGATGCGGCATTTTGATTGGTCGCCGCCAGGTTTAATCCGCGGACCGGACCCAAAAAAGTTGAAAATATTTCAACTTTTTATTATCTGGCCAGCAACGTCGCCGGATCAATCGGAACCAAAAATTTCTACTGATGGCGCATGCGCGGACTTTGTTTTGTTCTGATCCGGTCCGCTGCTTATTTTCCGGAGTGGAAATTAGCCTTTAGTGGTGGTGGAGGTTTCTGGGGGAGGATACGCTGATGGAGATTGGAGGAGGGACGGTGCATATTAAGGGATACCTTCGTTATATCATTATGTTTCCCGCACAACAGGTTACATGATAAGAGCTGGAATTAGGCTTTCTCACGATGACGAATATCCGCCATTTTTGGATGGCATCTAATTCTCGTATCCAATGCAGACAATTAAAACAACGTGAAAAGCAATTTTTGAAAATAAACTAACCATGCATTTACAAAGCAAATTTGCCATCATTCGTCAAACAAAATATAAAAAGTCGCTTTTGCGGGGACTTATCTCGCGGACTTCGGCTGAAAACCCATCCAGAATTGGCGGCGTGAGAAAGGCTAATTGCATGGGGGCAAGATCAAAGATAAATGCATCATAATATGAAGATATTGAGGAGACAGAATGACAAGCGAACACGTGAAATAAATAAACATACAACAAGAAATTATTGCATTCAGGCAGCCATTCCTTTTAAAGGACCCTTAACGTTGATGGAGGCTAAAAGAACTTTCATTTGAATATACTACCTAATAGACGTTGAAATATACAGAACATCTGGCATGTGCCAGAACCAAGTGTAAACTAACTCAATTATCTTCTAATTGTAAAAGTTATTGATATTTCAAAGTGGTATTCCAGTGTTGGAAGTGTTCCACTGTAAAATGTATTCGTTAGAGAATGTATCATTTAGAACTTTTTTCTATGTTCTGGCATTTGTTAGAATTCATTGGTTTGGGGTGGTATAGAACCGGCTGTAGCATTATAAGATTCAGGGCAAAACAGACATTTGTAAGAAATAGTGATTTGCTTGCCTGGCTGTAGAATAACTTACGTCTGTCTGATTGCCTAATTACAACAAATACTGGTTACTCTGCTCGCAGGGTAGCTTTTTAAGGCCCGTTTATATGATCCAGGCTAGACGGGACAGATGCGAGATCCCGCTCGTGATATAAACTCTATTGAGTGTTTATACGATCCAGACAACAACACTGCACCTATATGTGGATTGGAAGCCATATAAACACGTCATCCCTACAAGGCAATTCAAGTTTCCCAGCTGCTCTAACCTTATATGGGAAATTTTGTGCCGCAACAATGTTGTCTGGCGAATCACAACTTCAATGTATTTTATTGTATCTATCGAACGGTAACCACACGGAGATCCTGGGCTGACGGGGGCAGCTCCTACGGGAAGGGACTATATCTATTTACAGAAAATGAAAGCATCAGGATGTTTTAGGTTGGGATAATTTTGCATAATTATTTGAACCAGGCTCTCTACTCTGCGCTTCTAGTGTTTGAACCGTTCAGAGAAGCAAGTATCTTTACAAAGGAGAACCTCGCAAGCTAGGATCGATACGATTTGTACTATTTCTTCCCCACATCAGGGTTTTCGTGCCTCAAGGGTGTGTGGGGCGACCCTGTACATAAAGCTTTGCAACATTGAAATTAGTAGGTATGCAAACAATAAGGGCCTGTTCATATGGGCAGAAGTTATCCCGGTTAGCGAGAAAACTTTTCGACAAGATTACGAGCGAGATCTCGCCTTGTTACGAAAATAATATGAAAAGTTACATATGAGACGAAACGTTTTCCCGTGTACCGAGATCTCGCTTGTTGACAGGCGAGATCTCGGTGACCGGGATGTTTTCCCCATATGAACACAACTTTCCCGCTTAGCGGGATAACTTTTTGTCGTGTCAGCAACTTTTCAATTCAGTTGCAGCCGGAAACTTTTCCCGGTAAGTGGGATAATTTTTCTCCATATGAACAGAACAAAAGTATTTGGCCAGTCGAAAAGTTCTCTCGTTAACCGGGATAACTTTTGCCCATATGAACAGGCCCTAATTCGTGGCCAATATTGGCCATGTCAATTACTGTCAATGCGAACCAAGAGTCTTATATACTCCTAGACTTTTATATTTGATCAATTAATTTTTATTATTACAAACTATACATTTATACCCAGTGTTTTCTATACATAAATTAGTAAAGTACTACGTTTATGATCAGTAAGTTCACATCCAGAGTTGAATCAAGTATCTTGGTCCCCAAGTATCTATAATTGACGGCGAATAGACGCGTCCTGTTCACACACTGCCTCATACCAGGCGTCTCCAGCGCATTATTTTTACTGTCCTTTTGCGCACAAAAGAGCGGGACTAGCGTATAATGGTTTACACATTAAAAATTGCCATAGGCAAGGAATCTTCCGAAACGCTTCTTCGCTCGTCGCTCGCCTGTCACAATACTTCATGTAACCCTACTGTATAGCCCAAAGATATAGCGCCTGGTTTCAGGCATGCCAACAGGTTCGTTGCCTCTCAATGTGCTCTATTTTATCCGGGAGCACCGTGTTCAGACAGGTGTTAGACCAGTACTAGGCAGGAAGCAACGGCCATTTGTTAGTTCAGTGTGAGCGGAACCTTAGAACGTCCGCAGTTGGTGTTTGAGCAGTTTCAGCTCGTATTGTAACATTGTTCTTGGCTGTGTAATAACATTGCTTAATATGATTGACTGAATCATTCAATGCGCGGATTATTGAAATTGAGCTCTATATTTTCCCCAAGAAATTCCAACATAAATATAACTTTTAAATTTGGAGACGTTCTTTGAGCGATGTCTATCTTGTCTGGGGCGGACTGCATAAAAGTAGCGCAGAATCCCGAAAGTAGCGGTTCCTCTTACTTTCAGTTTCATCGGCTGTTGGGGGACACTACTTTCAGCAGGTTACGGGACCGGAGCATGCAGTTACATTCGGATGGTAAAATAATGTTAACATACTGTGGAATAGAATTCTTTGTCCCTTCCCATTTTCCTTTATGCCATTTCGACAATATAGCTTTGGTACGTTGACAGTTGACAAGTTTCGATCTTAACCACCGACTGTCGACGGTTTTTGAAGCAAATATTTACTAGACTGTAGCGCAACCCCGGTTAAATGGTTTTGTTAGTATCTTTCGTCTAGAGTGAAACAGGAAAATCAAGTCTATTCGGCAACAGCATTTACGTGCATATCCATTTACTTTCAGGGAGGCGGCTACTTTCGGAGTTTTTTTTTAAATGTCAAATTTGAAGCCATGCACTTTCGGCGCGGGGGGGGGGGTGACTACTGCCAGGCGCTACTTTCGGGATTGTACGCCACGATTCGCATTTCTGTGTTGTCATATTGGACTATGATGCTATAGCCTTGCTGGAAAACGAAATGGTCTATTTGTTTTGGAAACATGGACGTCTCACTAGCAGTAATTTACTAACTTGTGAAGTATTACGACAGTTGAAAGTTGCAGAAATTTTTAACTATAAGTCCTTCTCGTAAGATAATGTGTTATGCATACGATACAACCCTTATCAGGCACTGTATATGCATTCTATATTCCGAATTTCTCTCCCTTAAACGGAGTAACTCTTGCATTACAGTTGAACTAAGAAGACTTAGCGACAACCCTCAGCACTAACTAGGCATTAGATTCTTCTAAAGACTTTTTCAATGCGAGAGCTAATTGTTTTTCTTCCTCTTCTTGTAAGGATTTTAATTTCTTTTGTCTGTCTTTTTCATCTCGCCTACTTTGTCGTTTTGCCCATTCAATTACGTCCTTGTCCGATTTCGATGCCTTAAAAAGATAACTAACAATAAATACCTGTGTGATACGTCGTCTGTGGTTTACAGTAGTAATGGTGTGACCGCTGAGGTATTGGGATTTTCATATTTGTATACATTCAACGCAACTGAGTTATATTGTCGTGTTTCGCGCCCAATAGGCAATTCCAACTTTCAATTTATGCGCGCAGGGGGTGACTGGAAGTAAGGTATCATGTTGCTGATTAACAACCGAAATATTTCAATATTTACTTATACAGTAACTGGTGTAAAAATTGTTGTGGTGTCCCCGCCTCCTGTCCTTTTCGCATGTGTTTGTACTGTTTATAATGTGTATACTTTATCAGACGAAGCTAAATAAATAAATAAAATAAACCCCCCAATCCTATAGGCAATTCCAGCTTTTAGTTATATATGCGTGTGGGGGGGGGGGGGGGGGGGGGAA